TACAACTCACAAAACACATAATGTAAATAAAAATTAAAATGGACTATTCCTAGTTAGCAATTTCAATTGTCATATACACATAGATGTTTAAAAATAAAGAGACCTGCTAAATAGGATAGCAGTCATAAGCCTCTAGGTGTTTTTCTCTGTCTAATCCTCTTGAGTTATTTCTTGTAATATTGAAGATAGTGAGTGAGTACAACTACTCAGTAACTAAAGTCCAACTAACTTATACTAATGCATGTCAATTAATTTAAATACAAGTGGCAAGTACAATCAATTTTCAAAACTATATAAAATGTTCAAGGGCATAAATTCACATTTTCAAGCATAATAGTACATACTTGTAAAATAATGCTTTTAACAACTTTCATAGAAGGGATAGTTTGTCACGCAATCAATTGACATATACTTGCAAGGAATTAAGACTTAATTCATGATTTTCATCATTAGGGTTACAATACAGACAATCATATGCTCTTTTTCACTATATGCATGATTATACCTTCCTTATATCCTTCTTATTCCTCTAACATGAACCGTTGGCTATAGCACAATGTGATAATCTATAATTCGAGATTTTCCTAACCTAAACACTTGTAAGGGATTACTCGGTCAAGGTTTACCCAACTCATTTGTTAAACACGACTTTCCCCATTTTCTCACACTATGAGGTTTCATTCTCCCTAAACGAGCTTCCTCGTTGAACCAGTGGATATTTAGTTAGGTTTAAGTCCCTCATTAAACTACTAGAAGAGTTTCTCATTGAACAAGTAAGACAATATGAACATAAACAATTTAGGCAAGCCATTAACTCGGGTGGGAGCCTTACCAAGTAGATTTAATTCTCTACTCCTTTTTTTAGGAGAACTTTCACCTCTCATGATCATGCAATGCATAAATATGCACTATTACAAACAAGCATTTACTAATCATTATACCTAATCACAAATAGAACAATCATATAATACACACTCAATCAATTTATTGCACTCCACTTACTATTTTATTGAACTTCTCATTCACAAATTTATGGAACTCCTCAACCTCACGTTTTCATTAAACTTCACAATTTTGATTTCATTGTACCATACATATATCAAGCCATTGAACTCACATTTCTTAACCTCATTAAACTTTAATCTAATCATTTAGCTCACGATTTACATCATTGAACTTCCAATTAAATAAGTCCTTGAAGTTCATAATTTTGAAATTATTGACTACATTAAATCACCACTTCATAGTGGACTCTTTAAGCAAAACAAGCCACATTTGCATTTTAGTCAATTTCACACAATTCAATTATCAATATCAATTAATAAACTAATTAACACATAAAAGTATAAGATAGAATTTTTTCGATTACCTCAAACATTTGAGAGGTTAAAAGTTTCACCCCTTAATTACTCAATCCCAAAACTTTCAAGAAGCTTGAATGGTGCCCAAGATAGTCATTCTATAAGCATTCACAATAAAGTTCATCAATAATCACTTTCGGGCTAATTTTTACTAGAAACTCAACACTTCTTCATGCTCAAGATTCAGTTTTCTACTCAAATAAAGATATCCATAAGATTTTTTAGCTTCCTTTAACCCTCATTAACATCATTGAACTCTTAAATGACCATTAATGGGATCACATTGTTCCCAACCAACTTATTTATGGAAATTTCACATATTAAATGCTTTTCAACCACCAATCATCATAATTCCATAAATGTCAAGTTTTATTAGCTCAATCTAGTCCCATTAACTCTATTTAAATTAATGAATTCGGACCTATAATCTATATGGACTAAAAATCATCATTATTAACCAAACCCTAACTTCTATCATAAGAAAATGGAAGAAGAGAGGAGGATTTAGGTGCAAGAAGCTTACTTTTAGTGTTGATGAGCTCCAAATACTCAGATTTTTGAAGCCTTAGTAGAGCATTTTTGTTGCTCTCTCATATTTGTTAATTTTTTTCTTCTTCTACTTCATTTCTTGCTTGTATTTCAACAAAAAAATGTCCATGCATCATGGCATAGAGAACATCTCCTTAGGCATGTTATCACACAGGCACCACAGCGACTTATCCACAAACTGCGACACATGGCACAGAACCTTCCCTTTTAGAATTTCTTCCCCTTTTCATTATGGCACAGAACCTTCCCTTTTAGAATTTCTTCCCCTTTTCATTCTCAGATGACCCAATTTTCTTTTGGACCCACTTCTAGGGCTGAAAATCACATTTAAACACGCTCGTTAGGCCTTTCTGGCCACACATCTCGCTAATACACTTGATCAATCAAATTGGGCTTAAATAATCCGTTTTAAAATCGAGATGTTACAACTTGCATGCCCACATATCATTATGCAAATTACTCAACTATAACACTATATATCATGCTCCAATTTAAGAACCATGATTACCAATATTATACCACCATAATCATATCTAAATTTCACTCATACTAAACGATTTGTACAAATACAATCTCAACATACAACCATTATCTCATTACTTCATAGCCAATCCAAGCATAACTTTTTAGCACAAGTTCTTGGCATCACCACATCACACATAAACATGCTTTAATCATAATGTCATTCCAATATCATAATCTATAGCACATAATCATAACAAATCCATGCAATACATTTTATCACATCAATAACATATCTAGAAGATAATATTGCGGACACAATTATATGCAATTATAAGTTTCCAATTACCTCGACACTTAGATTTACCACCTTAAGAGTGTAATTTTGGATTTCGAAAAGAGCTTCTAGCCTATTGAAACTCCGGAACACTATATTCTATACACAAAATCATCAAAACACAGCATTAATGACTAATCATCATTAATTATACCTCAATCATGATTACAACCTAATTTGCCTCTAAGCAACATTAAGCCATTTAACCCAAAACCTAACTCCCATTAAGTTATTTAACCTTTGTTAACTTTAATAATCACCTCCAACACATTTCATTATCTTAAGTTTAATTTCTTAGCATTAGGTTTAACTTTAAACCCCTTATTAACAACTTGCTAACTACTAAAACCTAAGTAGAAGAGCATTAAATAACAATTAAAACCTCCATAAATACTCCAGAAATTGCTACAATTAAGCGCTAGGCTTAGATTCTAACCCTTACAGTAAAGAGACTTCTATAATCATTAAGAAAAAGAGAGAAAGAGAGTGTTTAGGACTTACCCAATGACTTGTATGTTCAAAAATGCCTCTACAATTACTCTCAAGCAAACTCCAGCAGAATGGGCCCAAAGTCATCCAAATAGCCTTTAAAACCTTACTTCAAACATTTTTAAGGGCCTAATAGGCCTAAATGACATTTCTAAGCCAATAATTAACCCTTAATTAGTTCAACCAACTGACTAAACCCTCTAATCAATTAATTTAGTCCCCAATTAATTTTTGGGATGTTATAACATGACCCTTAAAACTCAAAACAACTAAACTGGGAGGATTGTTATTTGGACGTGCCCCAAAGTATGCAAGATCAAGCCTAGTAGGAATGGATATTTTAGCACAAAGTATCCGGTTTCCTAATTGCGAACACAACAACCTTAAACGAGCATTGTAAATAGAGCTTTAGAGACAAAGAAAGGAAGCAATAAATAATAAACAACTTAGACACTTCATTACTCAAGTTATCTTTCAAATCACTTTGCACTTAGAATATTGTTGTCCTTTTCATTTCTTGTAATATTGTAACTTTATAGCTTTACACTATTAATTAAGCTACTTTCTTCCAATTATCTATTGCATCTTTACATCTGATCAAATTGTAGTAAAGGAGCCCAGGAATCTTTGTTTACATTGAGTCTCTACATCCAAAATAAAATTAGCTCAATAAAAGGGCGCCCACTTACCCACTCGCCCCTGGCCAACTCTCGAGGTGGCCTCAATCTTGCCTCTAGCTCTAGCTACTTTTGCTTCTACTTTCGAGAAAAGATAACTTGCTACCCAAGTCTACCTCCTACAAGCAAGCCATATAATTATGCTACGTTTCATGTTCAATTTCTTCACTAGTCTTGGGGGGTTTTCAAAAAAACATAGTAATTAGGTACTATCTTCCTAGCCATAATTAAAGCCGGTAATTCGAGCAAAACAGGCTTATTTAGATTGAGCTTTAAATATTTTACCCTCTTAAAAAACTTATATAGTGAAACCTGACTCTAACTTTTTTCTATCGAGTTTGGATTAGCCCATCAAACTTGGCCAAAATTACTAATTTTATATACATATAAAGCTAAAAATTTTAGTAGCTAGACTTATTCAAGTCAGGTTCAATTCGAGCTCAACTTATTCGGATTGAATTTAAAGTATCCTACCTTTTAAAAAGTCTATATAGTTAAACTTGACCTTAATATTTTTCAAGTGGGTTTGAGTTGACCTAAATTACCGACTCTAACCATAATGTTGATTTTGTCCTATCCTGAGTTACTGTGCTAAGTTAAACTACATCTATGATGAGGATCCGTTATCCTAATTGTCCTTCTCTTCGTTGGTGATCTCAATCTGCTTTTCCTATTCACTAGCACACTGCAAGTTACAACTAGCTACGCCTTTACTAGTAATCACATCATCATTATCAATCGGCCGTTAATAAGAAATTGAATCCAAAGCACAATGCTAGCAGATGATGGCCCTTTCTTCCTTTGAATTTAGCTCTTTTCCTTGAGCAAGGTATGAAAGAACTTGAAGCAGCTACTCTTGTTGCTTTGGCATTTGCAATGCAAGCTTGGAATTTTATTGCCACGAACAATAAAGTTTTTTCCTATTTTAAGTAGGGATAGCGGACAGCGTTTATAGTTTTCAGCAGATGCAGAGCCAGGAATGCTAATTCACCAGGCGCTTTCTCCATTTTCAACTAGACAAAACACAACTTTGGGCACATACAAGAGAAGAAAAATTGTATATCTTAAAGGCCCGCACATTTCAAGTCTTTAACCAAGTTTAGTGGATGCAAAGAGAAAGGGGTTGGGAGGAAAATTCAGAAAACCCACAGATTCTTGGAATATGCATTTTGCACAGCCAATGAGATTCGCACTCCAATTGTTGTGGCTGGTGTCTGTTGGCCAACGGCTATTCTTTTCTTTTTCCTTTCCTTTTTTGCCCTTTATCCAAATCCAGTTCCTTGCCCTGCAACCTCCAAGTGGATATGATTCCTTATCTGAAAACCAACACTATCACCCTTCTAGTTCTCTCCCGGTCATTTCATCAGCCATCGTCAGCCAAAACCACCGACGTCCCAAATGGAAGCTCTGCTCCTGAGCAAGCCTGCTTCCCACTTCAAATTTTCTTCCAAACACGGACATTGGCCTCTCTTTACTTTTCCCGCACAATCTCTTCGGCTTCAACCAACTAACACCGCCCTATTCACCGTCCGCGCCATCCAAAATCAGGAAAAGCAAATTTTCCAGGACGCACCCGCACCCGTCGACAACGAGGGTGAATCCTACGGTGAAGTGAAAGGTATCATCGGAAGCAGGGCCCTGGAAGGCGGAACTGGCATGGAGTATTTGATCGAATGGAAGGACGGTCATGACCCCTCCTGGGTCCCCTCCGATTTCATTGCCCAGGACGTGGTGGCCGAGTACGAGACCCCGTGGTGGACTGCGGCCAAGAAAGCCGATGAATCGGTTCTCAAGCAGCTCATCGACGCCGACGACGGCAGGGACATCGACGCGGTCGACGGCGACGGGCGAACGGCGCTTCTGTTCGTATCGGGTCTGGGGTCGGAGCCGTGCGTGAGGGCTCTTGCCGAAGCGGGGGCAAATCTGGATCATCGAGATAATGCCGGGGGGCTGACGGCGCTTCACATGGCGGCGGGGTACGTGAGGCCTGGCGTGGTGAAGCTTCTGGCGGATCTGGGGGCGGACGTGGAGGTGGAAGACGACAGGGGACGGACGCCGCTGGAGCTGGCGAAGGAAATTCTGAAGGCGACACCGAAAGGGAACCCGATGCAGTTCGGGAGGAGGATAGGGCTGGAGGGCGTGATAAGATGCCTGGAGGGGGCAATATACGAGTACGCGGAGGTGGAGGGGATACTGGAGAAGAGAGGGAAGGGCGAGAACCTGGAGTACTTGGTGAAATGGAAGGACGGCGGAGAGAACGAGTGGGTGAAGGCCAAGTTTGTGGCGGAGGATCTGGCGAGGGATTACGAAGCGGGGCTGGAGCACGCGGTGGCGGAGAGAGTGGTGGGAAGAAGAGACGGGGACGACGGGAAGCCAGAGTTTCTGGTGAAATGGACCGACATGGACCAGCCCACGTGGGAGCCCCAAGGCAATGTGGATCCTCAGCTCATTCTGGAATTTGACGCCAGCCCAAAAGAAGACCCGTGACCCTGGGGTTTGGGCCGGACATGGATGGATTCTGATTCTTGGCAAGATTGTAATTCGATATTAAGGGTCATTGAATTAATTGCTTCTAGGGGCGGGGGCGGGGGCGGGGGCGGGATTAGGTGGGAGATGAGATGAGACGCAGCCGGAATGTTGTCTTTTTTTGGGGGATGAGAGTTGGCAACGGATGAGAACAGGAGCGGATGGGAAAAGGCGACATAATTGAATTCGTGTATATTTAATACTGGAGATTAGATAGGAGTCTTTTTGGAAAGAAGTAGAAGGAAGGACGTGGGGAAGGCGATTGAGAGAAGTGGGCCCCAAGTCCTTGTATTCAAACCAAACTGATCTAAAAGTCTAGGCATTTTGTTTTGGGATGTAACGTTGTCCATTCTTTACTGTGGTCAAGCAGCGTGCTTTCGACTTTCCGTGTCACAGAAAACGTGGAATTCTCGGAGTCTAACCCATTATTGGGTACAACAAGCAGTGTGGTTGATTGAAAAGGAAAATGCAGGTGAATCCTAACAGGCTAGTGGAAAAGGACAAGATTTGTAGAGTAAAACAGGGCTTTGATGATCTCCGTAAAGTATAATCCCATTTGTCTCGCCATTCAATCCTAGTCATTCCTACCAACCTGGCATTTCAGTCTTCCCACATTGTAATTAATCACACTGCTTTCTTTCTCCGCCCTAAACACTGCTCTTCATTTCAATCCATGTCCAATTATCCTCCTCAACGGTAGCGCAAGTTATATGTTACATCTGCTTATGTGAAATTACACCTCACGAATTGTACGCCTGATTATTATTATTATTATTATTATTATTATTATTATTATTATTATTATTATTATTTGTTATAAATGTTGTGTTTGTGTTCGTGGTGTGAAAAACAAACACCAAACGCGTTAGAGATGTTGAGTCTCAATTAATAACAAAAGAGTTACGAGTTCTCTTATCATAATTTACTCGAATGTAAAAGACATATAAGGTTTTGATAGAACAAGTATTTGATTTTTTTTATTGAAATGCGAAATGTTACAAATCTAAATTAAAAAGTAAGTTTTTAATTGAGTGTTGACTATCTTTTTTATGTCTTCATCTTCCATTTATAATGTTAGAATGGTGGTAGCTTCTCCCTTAAGACCTATAACATTTGGCTAAGGAATTAAGGATCTTATGAAACTCATGACACAGTCTTTATTCTATATTCTTCATTTTTGGTAATCAGTCCATCTTACCGAAATACTTGAGCACGATGTCCATGGGTTTCTGAATTACTCGATATCGTATCTTCATGTGCCAACGGTCCAATATTTGTAACTAACAGGATTTTAGCATGTTTATTTTATTGTGGCTTTTATTGAGCTTTGGGGTCAGCTCCTTTATTCAAATTGGGCCTGACTCTTCAGTTATTCAGTTTAACTAGCCCTGTGACCCATTTGAGTAACATTTCATATTTTTGCCCAAACAATTTGTAATATATTATTGATGGAGGCAATCATGATTGAGACAGAGATAAATATTAAATATATGCATTCATTGATGTTATTATTAACCTACTAGCCATATTTTATATTAATGTTTTTAAAATGAAACTAGATATTGAATCAAAAAAGTCAACGGTTTATGGTTTGCATGGTTCAATCGGGTTAGATCAATAGTCAAACCAATGATGTAATATTTAAATTAAAAAAATATATTTGTATATAATAATCTAAATATAAGAAATAAATATGAAATTGCTACTTAACTTAAAAATAAAATTAAATATTTTAAGTTTATTATGACTTAACAAGCCACTTGATACAACATGCCATTAAATGATTAAAAAATTATTTTTATGAAAAATTTGATAAAAAATAAAAAAAGAATTTTTTCAATAGTTTAGTCTTAAAAAACTAGGTCCGATTCTAGGCTTAATCCCAATTCCCAGTCTGATCGTCGGTCTAAAATGGCCCAACTTAGGTCAACCCTCAAAACAGTTTTTACATGCTAACTGAGCCAAAATTCAAATAGGTTGACCATTCATTTCAGTCTGATTTTTTAATTATTGCTTTATATACTTATACTTTGTTCAATCTAAAATATATAAGCCTTTCCCCACAACTTATATTGGTTTTAAAATGTAAGTGATTTAATATTTTCTCCGAACCACAATATATAACATCTTTTAAAAGCTTCGTTTAATTCAAAATATAGGATATTGAGTAATTTTTATAATTATTTTTGCAACTATATTCCTACTTTATTTAGTATTCTTTTTGAAAAAATAACACATTAAAATTTTAATTGTCATCATTGAGGAACTACTTATATATAGTATTTAATAAGAGTAAAATTGAAAAAAATGTAAATTTTTCTAAGAAATTACCGTTTCAACTAATATTTTTTAAAAATCATGAATTAGTTTGTAATACCTTATCTTTTAGTTTGGAGGGAGTAATTGTATCAAAAAATTTTCATTTTACTATTTGCATTTATTAACCTAAATTTTTGTGTCTGAATTTATGAACCTAGTTCTCATTCATCATAAATTGAAATTAGAAGTAAAAATGAAAAACAATATATTTTTTAATAATGACAAAGATTTTATTGACATACGAATTATTGTTAAATGCGGCGTATACTTTCGACAAAAAGAAATATATTATATAAAGTTTTAAGTAGAGCATTTGATACTTAACTCACCTAAAGTTTAATTCATAAAAAAAAAACATGCAGGTGAAGTCTGTTACATATAAACTCTTATGCTCTTGGATATGTTTATTATATGACACTTTTTTTGGTTCTTAATACAAGTCACATAGAGCTATTAATTAATAATTTCCAAATTCATCCCCAGCAAATTACTAAAAAATATTTAATTCTAATGTAATGTTCAATTATGACTCTTCAAATATTGTGTTTGTCTCTTTCTTCAACAGGGGTAAAATTGAAATATTTTTAAATTTTAAGAGTCAACAACCCCTCCTTGATTTTGTTGAAATAGTTAAAAATTACTTATATAAAACATCTTCTAAAATGATTTATTGGTATTAAATATAAAATACTTGATGAAGTGTTAATTATATTTTTATAATATTACTCATATTTAAACTCATTAATTATGTGAATTAATTAAAGGCATCTTACAATAGGGATTGTAGAATTATGTACTAAGAAATACTCTCTCCGTCTCATTTTATAAGATATTTTTGGACAAAATTACACATACCAATAGCAAACTATTTAAATACATTTTACAATCTTATTTTTTAAAATATAAGTATAAATGTCTATAAAAAATATAAATATAAATTTTAAAAAAATATTTATTTAATGTAATTTTATTTATAAAACATTAAATAAAAAATATATTCTCTTTATTAGAAATGCAGACTGCATGTTAAAAAATGTAAGATATTTTTAATCTTTTAAGATACAATCATTACTTTTTGTGTTCAAAAGTGCTTTTATTAAATAAATTACTTTATATTTATTTTAGAGTAAAATATTATATAAATAAGGGTGAATATAAAATGATAGAGTTAATTTAAAAATAAGCAACTATTTTATTAGGAAGAAGATTTAATTAAAAATATCTTATATTTTTAAATTAAAAAAATAATGAGAATAGAAGAATAATATTAAAATAAATATAATTAATTAAATTTTATTTTCATTAAAATATTTTATATTTTAAAATATTAATTATTTTAAATTTATTTTATAATTTGAGATATAAAAGGTAATATGTTATATTATTATATAGATACTAGATAACTAGATAAATTAATTGTAATAAAATATTGGAAAGGAAAATAACCAAAAGGCCGAATCGCAGAGGCTTTTTAAGGTTAGATTAGTTCATGGTCTTGGACATAGTCTGCGTGTGCTTACAGTCAAGTGCAGAGCCGGCAGCACCCCCTTGCCACTTCATCTCTTCTGGGTATTATTCCTTCCTTTTCAAAATTTTGCTTTCCTTTTCATGTCTTCTTCCCCCGTGTACCTTAATGTGATCAAAACCGTCTCTCTCTTCTTTTTGCCCCCTTAATGTTAAACTAAATCTGTTTCGCCTCTATTGACATCGTCTTCGTCTTCAATGGCAGGCGAAGCCAGAATGCACGCCAAGTCGGACTCGGAGGTGACGAGCGTGGACCAGTCGTGGCCGGCTCGATCTCCTCGGAGACCGCTCTACTACGTTCAGAGTCCGTCCAACCATGATGCTGAGAAAATGTCCTACGGGTCCAGTCCTTTGGGTTCCCCCCACCATTTCTACCATTCCTCGCCCATTCATCACTCTCGCGAGTCCTCCACCTCGCGCTTCTCCGTCTCCCTCAAAAACCCCAGAAACCTCTCCACCTGGAAGAAACTCCACCAGTCCCAGCACTCCGACGATGAGGACGAGGACGACGTCGGCGCCGATCAAGGCTCCGGCCGCAACATCCGCCTATACTTGTGCTTCTTCTTGCTCTTCGTGCTGCTTTTCACGGTCTTCTCTCTCATACTCTGGGGAGCCAGCAAGAGTTATGACCCTAAAGTTTTAGTCAAGGTCAGATTAAATACTAATTTCAACCTTGTTGATTTTTCAGTTGGATTCGGGATTAGGTTTTGAACCTGTCTTAATGCGATTGTTCAATACTGGATCCTGACGTGATTGTGATCTTTATTTTATTTCTCAATTTTTTTTTAAAATTGTTTTGAATGAAATGGGATGTGGGGAGGTGCAGAACATAGTGTTCGAGAGCTTGAATATCCAAGCGGGGAATGATGATACGGGAGTAGCAACAGATATGCTGTCGTTGAACTCAACTGTGAGGATCTTGTACAGAAATCCAGCCACATTCTTCGGCGTCCATGTCACTTCGACTCCTCTTGAGCTTCACTACCACCAACTCAGCCTTGCTTCCGGCCTGGTAAATTTAAGTAGCTTTTGGTTTCGATGTTAGATAGTGAGACGCTTAACAGTAAGTAATCATCCCTATTTTCATTGTGCACTCCATTCGATGATCAGAGTTAAGCGCAAAGTGAAAAACTGAAAATAATAAAAATACAATGGGAAAAGCAAGGGAAAGGGCAGGGCTGGGTGGGGTCGCCGTCTCGGGGAGTGCAGAGATACTGAATCGGTTGAATTGGATTGGTTGTATTGGTTATAAAAGCTGCTGGTCCTGCCTCCATCTCTGCTCTCCTTCATCAATTTTCTCAGTTCTCCTTGACAAGCGTGCCCCGCTGCCTTTATTCCCCCAATCCCCCAATACCCATTTCCACTCGTCCATGCTTCTTTAATTGATGTGTCGTTCTTTTCACGCAGTAAACTATTTATGAGAACTTAATTGCTATCAACCGAGTCCATCTTCCCATGACAGGATTTCCAAACCCCCCCATCCTCAGGCTTGAAGCATAGTACTTGAGTTTATCACACAACGATTTTATTATTTTATCCAAAACTTGTACTTGGGTGTGGTAGATCTTTTTGCAGAGAATTCTTATGCATGTATGGTGTTTATCGTGACAGAGACAAGAGAGGCAACTAGGTGGTCAGGTCCAAAATTATTTCAGTTTGAATAGTGGGTTATGGTTATAAAAAGTGAGGGATTGTGTTGGATGAATGTGAAAGCAGGTGAAGGAGTTCTATGTGAAGAGGAAGAAGGAGAGAAAGATGGCGGTGGTGGTGTCAGGGCATCAGGTGCCGCTGTATGGAGGAGTTTCAGCGCTGGGGAACGCCAGAGAGCAGAGGCAGAATGTGGCGTTGCCGCTCAACCTCACGTTTGTGATGAGATCGAGGGCTAACATCCTGGGATCATTGGTTCGCTCTAAATTCTATCGAAGAATCCGATGCTATGTCACCCTGCATGGCAACAGCCTCGGAAAACCTTCTACCTTAACCCATTCTTGTCTCTACAACTGATCATCAATAAATATTTTACTCCTTTGATTTTCCCTGCCTCGTCTTTTCTTTCTCTTCATCCCAATTCCCACACGCTTCCATGTGCATTCAACTCCTGTTTGCTTTTGTTATCCCTCGTGGGATTCACTAAATACTTCACTGTCCATTTTAGCCTGTAAGTTTGCTTCATTGCACAGTAAATACACCTTTTTCTTCACCGCGTAGAGTTATGGACGAATTTATGGCATTTCAAATGCGAAACTTGCGGGTTTTGTCTGACCTTGAATAGAGACAAGGCATCTGATCATGGTATATTGATTGATAAATGGGGACTAGGCTTGTCTCGATCACTCTTGCATGCCGATTCTTTAGAAAAGTGGTGCTTGATGATTCAAAAGACATTCGTACTAAAAAAATGGTCATTTGATGCAATGCACATGATAAAGTCATCTTAAGGGAAATGCAGTTCTCTACTTTTTATAATTTCAATGTTAGTTCACCTATGAAATCAAAAGTATTTAAAATACAAAATCTTTCATGAATTAAAGTTACTTATCTTTCAAACTCCTGCGGCTTACATGTAGTTCAATCTCCAACGTTATGAGTTAATAATTAACATTTATCGTTGATATATATATATATATATATATATAATATGTGTGTGTATATATCATAAATAATATAAATCATTTCAGACTTTATGAGCCTACTGTTTAGTTGAATTTTTAAAGTATAACTATTGTATATAGAATACTAACGTTCAACTGGTAACTTATACACTTGAAGCGGTCCAACTGGTTTCAGTGAGAACGCCTCCATTGCACCAGCATCTAAACATCATTGATGAAGTTCGCAGCATTCTTGGGAGAGACTGGCAAGCGTCTTCACGTCATATTAACAGGGAAGGAAATGAAGTTGCAGACTATTTAGCTAAACGTGCTCTTAGTTGCTGGCCAGGATTTTATCGAATTTCTACTCCCCACTCTGAAATTGTGGATTTACTCTTGGCTGATTGAGTGATTGTAATAACCTGAACCAGGCTTAATCTGGTTGGGTGCCTAGTTTATTTAAAAAAAAAAAAAGAATACTACCATTCATGTTATTTAAAAAAATTGAAATAACAAAATATTACAATTACAATATATAATTTAATTTGATAAATAGATTGTGCAATTTTAATTTCTTATAGCATTAAATTATGGGTGTAGCAAATTAATTCTCCGGACGGCACGGGACGCGGGGAAGAGGTATGTCCGGCGGAAATGGAATAAGATCAGAGGGAGGAGGGTAGAATGGGAATGAAAGGTGGGGCCCAGCGAGGGGAAACAAATTTCAAAACGATGGGTTGAAAGATGGGTCCCTTTTCCTACAATCCTATGGCACCAAACAAGCTTTTAGTCCCTGCTTTTCTCCGCAAGCGATAATTTTGTCACGGACTTGAATATTGCTCAAACTATAAACACATGTGAACTATTTTAAATGAAAATTCCAATCCAAATAATAGTTTGAAGAACAGATAAAAGAGGAATTATAAACTACAATAGTATAGAAATAAGGGGACATAAAGGGGAAGGTAGCTATAGAATTGCAAAAAGGAGAGAATCCATCGTCATAGTGACAACAGTCAGAGAGAAGGAGGAGAACCGCAAAGAGAAAGAGAGAGAGAGAGAGAGTCTTCAAAACAATCTTCACACCCTTTTCTGGTAAACTTCATCCTTCTCGTATAATCCTTTCTTTTCTCACCTTCAAGGCTTCAACAGACTTTGGGCCCACTCATTTCATTCCCAGCCCACATAACCTCCTGGCCCATCCCACATCAAGCCTTGAATCGTAACACATTTCGTTTGCACTTTGTCATCCAATACAACCAGGGCAATTTGCACGTGAGATATTACAGCTTCAAATTTCATCTTCATATATAAAATATTTTCATAATCACTTCACTGTCTTCGGAAGATAAATCTTTGCTCCGTCCAAAAGGTCCAACATATATCACATCACATTTCACCTTTGAGGTTGCAAAAAATATTATAAAAATAATCATGCAAGATTGAGAGATATGTTATAACCATGTTGTCAGGAAAACTAGTAACTTCGCTAATCGGCTCAAACGTAGTACTCATATCATTGACCATCAGTTACGTATAATTGTGGAACATTTCTTAAAGTATCTAGTTGTTACAGAATATTTCTGCAATGGACCCACATATGTAAGTTACATTGGTGATTGTTTCTTCTAAGAGACTTTTGCCTCCTATTGCATTTTTTTTTTTCAATAAACGTATCTTACTTTCAAATAGATGATTCCAGCTTTAATACAATTGAATTTGGCAGGAATTTAAAATTTAAATTAATTGTAATGAATCAGAAAATACATTGATTGCAACTATGAAGGTTACGAAAATAGATTTCGTAAATAACGTCAATAAATTAATTAATTTTAATCAAGGAGGAAATACTTTTCATGATGATATGACTATATGAGAGGTTTCATGGCTTTTTTTTAATATTTTTATTTATTTTATTATTTATAAAATATAAATTTTTTTCTTTCATTGTTTAAAAAGATCTTATGGAATTCACAAATTTTTAATTCGAGAGGACCGATTTCGAAAGATATAAAGGGGTGTGTGTGTCAGTGTGTGTAACATTGATTGAAGCGTGGCGGGCAACGCTTCGTTTATTTGAATGGTTGGATAAACATATTTACAATTTTAAATTAATCAGAAAATATATTGATCGGAGATATGGAGCTGTACACGTGTGAGGTTAATTTGAATAAATTTTATAAATATCGTAAATAAGTTATAATTATTTCTTCGGTAAAAAGTTATAATTAATTTCAATAAAGGATAAAATATCTTGCTTGAAGATAAGAGTAAAAACAAGTTAAGTTGAGTTAGATTTAGATCAAATAGAAATGAGCTAGTACGATAAATTAGAAGCCTGAAATTGGCCACAAGCTTGTATAAAATTTTTTTTATTTATTATTATTTAGGCTTAAGTTTACCTAAAATTTAACTTGAAAACTTATTTAAAAGCTTACTAACTGCATGCTTGGATTAGCTTCATAATTGACTTTTTCAGTTAAAAATCAATTTTCCATAAAAATAACCAAACACCAATTTAAATAGACAATCGATTATAAAGAGAAAAATCAATTTTTTCCTGTATCTGTGCGCTTATAGCGTTTCAAGAAGAAGGGAAGAGGAAAAAAAAAAACATCTGTTCAAAAAGCACGTGAAAAAATTATAAGAAAGGTCCAAAAAAATATAAAAAAATAATAAAATTTAATAAAAATAAAATTCAACTCTCTTATATTCTCTTTTTTTTATCTTAATAAAATTTGAATTTGGATCTTCAAAAAAGTTACTAGCATAAATTTCTGTCAACTACTACCCTTCACTTAACACTTACTATAAAATTAATGTAAATAAAATATTAATTGGTAAAAAAAATTTAATTTAATTTAAAATTTAGGGTCATTAAAAAGATTGTTGCAAAAATCCACAAAGAGAGAGATATTTTGTGTCATTTGTTACATTGCTATATTTTTTATATTGCCAAATTTTAAGGCAATGTTTAATATCTTTGTTAGATATGGCTCATATTCGTGATATTATTAGAAATTAACTCATACATTATCATCTTTATTATTTATTGTAAACTTGATATTTGATATTTAAGAATTAAATATTTCTCTTTTATTAAATTTTTCTGAACTAAAATACATTGAGTTATTTATTTACATAAATTAAAATATTAATATTAATATTAATATAATTTAATTTTTTAATTAATTAGATATGTAGTTTAAATAATATATTTTAATTCTTAAATAAAATTTAACAAATTTAATAATACTAAATACAAATTTAGTAATAATTTAATTTTAAAAAATAATGTCTTTTATGGTAATTTATACAGTTAGAATTTAATTCTAACATAATTATTCAAAAAAATTTTATTTTGTTAAAATCAAGTTTTAAAAAAATAATATTCAAATAAATTGCGTTATAACATAATCAATTATAATTAAAATCAAACATTTAATCAATTATTTTTATATTCAATTATACCCAATTAAAATTCAAACAGGCTCTTAAAAATAAGCATGCATTTTAATTTTAAATATACTTTAAGATTATTTAATATATAATATATAATTTAATTTATTAATTATAATATAAAATAATTAAAATAATTTATCAACTGCAATACAATAATGAAGTAATAATATTAAAAAAAATAAATGATAAAATTGATGCGTGTGTGATGTATTATATTATATTATTTATATATATAAGCCAGCTTATTGAGTTTGCATGTTAAACCTTACAAAAATAGATTTAACCTATTTAATTAAATATATTTAATTAAAAACTTAAATCTGACCTAAGTTTATATATTATGTTTTTTTTTTTTTTGATACAAGTTTATATATTATGTTAGGCCTGAAGTATGCGCGCAGACTCTTGATAAAAGCCTCACCCATTCCCGCCTTTATCTGAAAATCACATGAGAGTTCCGATTCATTTGTGAGGCACCCGGCCCAAAAAAAAAAAAAAAGTTGTCAGATTGACCTATTAGATCATCTAAACATAAAATGCCCATCAACACTCGTTCTGGTCGGCTACGTGCTTCCCCTCCTCCATATTGAAAACAGATGGATGCACCGATGTATCACATTAACTGACGCGGCCAGCGACTTTTTGTTTATTTGAATTGCTTGTTTAAAAAATTTACAATTTTTAATTAATCTGATTTTATCAGAAAATATATTGATTATATATATGCCATGTCACTAAAATAAATTTCATAAATAACTTGAATAAGTCACAATTAACTTTAATCAAGGAGCAAATATCTTCCTTGAAGACATGAGGGGCTCGTTCTCATTCAACGTCTGTGATGATGCCTTACTGAATTTTTAAATTGTGCCCCAATACCCCATCACCACCAACACTCATTCTGTTTTTTTTTACCCCGAAGGCAATCTATTTCAATGTAAAAGAAAGAGTACATCAACTCTCATTCTGATTGGCGATATGTTTTACATGTATGTATATTAAAAATACGTGGGCATGTCACATTGAGGTGGAGCCAATAACCATTGGTTTATTTGAACGGCTAGATAAAGATATGCGTTGTATATGTTAAATTTATTATGTTAAATATACTTAAAGATAATATATTCTATCAAAATATAGTTTAAGTCATTTAGTTATATACTTTTTAAATTTATATATTTATTATTTATTTTTTAATCTTTAAATATAAGACTTTTTGTATGTTTTGATATTTTCTTTGTTATTATTTTTACTTTTCTTCTTTTCTCTAGACTTGCACTTTTTCAATCTCACAGTCCTCTAAATTATTTAATTTTTTATTCTTTTTTCTCCTTCTCTCTTTTTTTTTTTAATCTGTTGTTTTTTTTTCATCTTTCAATATTTTTCTTTTTTTTTCTCTCTTTTTATTTTTTTGGGTCCTCAATCGAATGACTATATTAGATTTATTATATTAAATATATTTAAAGATAATACACTTTATCAAAATAGTTTAAGTCATTTAATTAAATATTTTTTAAACTCATGTATTTATAATTTATTTTTTAATATTTAAATGTGAGACTTTTTATATATTCTAATGATACATAGTCCATTATAGTTATATCAAATTCAAAATCGTAAATCCTGTACCATAATTTGCTTGAATATACTTATTATCAAACTCGTTTAAATTTAATATGAAGATCTTTAAATAATAAATAACCAAATATGGAATTTAAAAATTAAGTAAAATTGATAAATTAACATAAACTAAGTAAGAATTGACATAAATTATATTAAAAAACGATGTCCCAAAATTTTGTCGGGTTATCGAGACCAGGGAGCAGCCTTTGTTCTAAGCGGTTTGAGAAACCAAAAATCATAAGACGAACTCAAGGAATATCGTAAAACAATTCGTCATCTTTCTTTCTCTATCATCTATCCTGAAAACCCCTCTACTCATCGGATCTTCAGAACCCATCTTGTCGTCGATCTCTTGCCTTCGATATTGAAAATTGTTCTCAAACTCCTGTCATTGCTATTCTCGCCCTCCCATCACCGGTAGTCTCCGATCTGGTCGAACTCGCTCTCTTTTGTCTCGGCGCCGAGTCTCAGCATTGAATGGGGAAGGCAAAAAAGAATAGAAGTCAAACTGTCAAAGGCTGCCAGAGAGAAAGAAGGGAGGTTTTGGTGTTTCGCGAATCTGGCTGTACGAAACTCCTTAAAGCCGTTGACCTAATTTGACAACTATGATGACGACAGGATTTAGTCCTCGCATGGAATCCAGATCCAGATATTTCAAGCATTTAGCTTGCCTTAAAATGTATATTTTATGCCCATGGAAATTAAAAGTTGCTTCTAAGGAATTGGATTTTGTAATTAAGGGGCACCGAAACATGACACGGTTAAATATCGGGGTTAGTTAAAATGGTCGAGATGTTGTTTAATAGTATTATATTAATTGACATAATGAGAATAAATCGTGGTTGATTATTGAATAGGTCGGGGTCGGGGTCGGGGTCGGGGTCGGGGTCAGGGGTTGAAGAAATTAGCGTGGAAGCCATAGCGGGCAAGAGTCCAAATAGAGGAAGCCGCCAGAAGAAGAGAGAGAAGCAATCCCAGGCAACCCAGGGCGACATTAAAGCACCACTGAGAAGCCCCTTTCGGAGGCTTCTTGATGGCCACCCACATGAAGCACGGGTACGCATACGTTACGGGCACCAAGGTCATCCCTCCCAGCAGAGCAGCCAGCTTCGGCAGGAACGGAAACGTCACCGCTATGAACAAAGTCAATGCCCCGAACATTACTCTCATGCACCCCCTTACTAATCTCGAGCATCTCTTCTTCTTGGCTTTTATGTATCCCATCTCCAAGCTGTCGAACACAGGCATGGCATAGACTTGGAAGCTGCTCAGGCAATGTATTGTTATCGGCAGGTACAACAATAACCCCATCGTGAATTTCGTCACCTGATGCCCGTGCACTTTCGAAAACGCGCTCACCATTCCTCCCTCCGGTATCTGCATTCCAGTCAATAACCATTAATGTAACAGAGCAGATCTACCACTGAGTTCATGCAACTCAACGAGGCTGCGCTTGCTTGCCTGGTTTCCATATGCCCAGAATCCTGCAATCGCCAGCGGAAACACGCACATGGCTATGACTGCATAAGCCACGATCACTCCTTTGCGCATTAATTCCTTGCATGGTTTTTCTGTGCTCGAAGGGAGCGTCCCCTTCAAATTAATCAAAACACGGAATTATATGTCAATGACCGAACCTGAAACAGAATATTCTCTCTCAAGAAAACAAAGGGAAAAGAATCTCGCCTGGATCTCAAGCATAACATTATGGCCTCGGAATGACAGTACAATGATGCCGATGGCGTTGATACTTTTAGAGACGTTAGAAAGAGAGGGGTGATGATGCCCGGGCAGGGAGAGGGAGGGAGCGGATGAAACGGAGGCGGGCCTGCCTTTGGAGAGGGAGAGAACCCAGAACAGGGTACAGTAAGTGATGGCGGTGATGGCCCCGACGATAGACACGCCGGCGACGGAGTTCAGACTGGGCGTTAATTGTGCGACGAGAATGGCGATGGATGTGAAGACCAAGAACCACAGGGCCCCGCTTAACGGGTGCGCGTGGCACGTGTCTTTGGGACAAAATGTATTGAAAAATAGCTGCAGGGTCCAACTACCGGTGATAATGAACATCACGCAGCTTCCTCCCGACAGATACATTACCGGGAAAAATGCCGCCACCTTACCCATCCTTTGACCTGCAAGTGAACGAATATCCCCTTTATACACATCTCAACCACCAAGAATGTGCTCTTGAATAACATTCAAACCGCCACCAAAAAGGGAAATAATGAATTACCGAAGGCAGCCGTGGCTAGGGAAAGGAATCTGCTGTAGCGAAGCCCGGGGACGGATTCGTGCAGGAGAAGAAGAAGGAATATGGTGTAGAGCTGCCAAACAAATGCCAGCGAGAAGCATACGCTGCCCCATGCCCTGCAAACTCTCGGGTTATTCAATCATGAATCAAGAAAAATAAGCGGGGGAAGGGAGGGACGTACCAGCCAAGAGCGGCGAAGGCAGAGGGTAGCATGAGAGCTTGGAAACCGAGGTTGGAATTGAGGATGTGAAAAGCAGCAAAGAAGGAATTGCCATGCCTCGACTGGGTGATGGGGAGCCAGGAATCTTTGATGAGAGTTTGGTTTTGATGGTGATCCTCGTGGACATCAATATGTACAGAGACAGGAGGGAGGGGGGCTTTATCGGAGTGATGCAGAAGGACTCTTTCTGGTAACATGTTGTGTTGGTGTTGAGCTGTTTTGTCCATGACCATATATATATTGACTCGATATAGTGGAAGGGATGGAGAGGGTGTCTGTGGGAATTGCATGCAGGAGGAGTACGGGTCGAAGATGAACGGAAATTGGATAGAACGATCCCTCCCGGGTCACAACTGGAATTAACGAGCCGAGTTTAACTAATGACTTGTAAGGATCTATGCCGTAAATCCTTTCAAACTGACGTTTCCTTAATTTCGAGGTCTGCATTCTCGAAGAGGGGTAGACCCGCAGAGAAAAAATAATTAAGTAAATCGAATGTAATACATCATTTATAATTTATTTAATAAATATATAATATTTAAATGATATTAAATGTAAATTAATTTTAATATTAATAATTAAAAATAAAAAAATAAATATACATTCTATTATAAAAATAAAACCAATTAAAAAAAATATCATATAAAATTTTATTTAAATTATTTAAAATTTTTTAATTAAATAAATTATAAATAATGTGATATATTGGTCTACTTAAATATTTTGGAGCCCCGCGTATACAAATCTAACGAGCATCCACATGACATCATTGATTTGATGTCACCTCCCAACGTGTCATTCGAGTTCTATCTGCAGCTCCGTCGCCACTAGCTAGTGTCGGAATAAGGCCTGAGCGAGCGTGTGTTTAGTTTTTAATTTATTAAAAATTAATTTATTAAAAGTTTATTTAGTAAACATTAATTTATTAAAAATTAATTGTTATAATAAAATTTATGTTTAAATGTATTATTAAAATACATTCAAATAGCTTTTCACATTTTAAAAATAAAAAAATACTTTTGAAATATGAACTTGCCCAAAAGGTGCCTAAATTTATTTTTATAAAACTTTGAGCTTTAAAAAGTATTGACTTATAATAATTGATAATTTTTATTATATAAATATAATATATTAAAAATGTCAAAATAATGAAAGAATTATAGTCAAATATAAAATTAGGTGCCAATGACTCCATCCTTCACATTTACGTTTGAAAAGCAAGTAAATGGAACTTTCAAAATTTCACTTTCAAATAATTTAAAAAGTATTTTTAAAAAGCATATTTAGACTTATTAAAATACATTCAAATAGCTTTTCATATTCTAAAAGTAAAAAAATACTTTTGAAATATGAACTTGCCCAAAAGGTGCCTAAATTTATTTTTATAAAACTTTGAGCTTTAAAAAGTGAATGCTTTTAAAAAAATTAAGCCTTGAAACTCAATCTTAATAAACTCTTAAAAAACGTGCTCGACAACCCTTTTATACCATTTTCATTTTACCTTTAAAAATTCAATATATCTTTAATTTTTAAATTAATTTTAAATTTTAAAATATATATTTATATTTTAAAATTAGAATTATTATTATTTTTAATTTTTGAATAATTTATATTTTAAAAATATGAAATATTATAATAAAAATTTTAAATATTTTAAAAATCTAAAAAATAAAAAATAAAAAAAAGAACTTATAGACCTGACTTTAAGCTTTTTAAATAAAAGCTGAATTTTAAAAACTAATCATTTTTTAAAAAATTCAAATTTAAAGGCCTGAGCCCATGTGGGCTCTCCATTTCTGCCACTAGCTTTCTCTTCTTCATTTTGTTAAGACTCCGTGCGACCCTTGCTTAATTTTGAAAATTATATAACGCAAACTTTCATGAAAAAAAAAATAAGAATATTGCCACATGACCTTTTTAAAATTTTTAATAGAAAGAGGTGTGAGTATCCTCTGATAGAAAAGTGGGAAGTATCAGGTATGAATGTTGAGTCTAGTAGGGAGGAGATGGTTTCTTATAATATGGTAAACTAAAATTTAATTTGTTATCAAGAGAGGTGTTGACATTTAACTATAACTATAGATCATGCTTCCAAAAATGATTGTCTCGGATAAAAATGTTTGCAATTAAAAAAACAGGAAGTCTTCTTCAAATCACATGAGGACAGAAGAAAGGAAATAAAAGTAAAACACGTGGTGCGGCAGATGAGGACTGGGAATTGAGAACTTACTTCACAATTTCCGAAATGCATCAAAAATTCAAAATCCAACTACCTTTAATTTCTTTTAGACTTCTGTCACGCGGTCCATCCATACGGGGAAGTTTGGTTGAACATTATAGATCATGCATTGAGAAATATGTATTATTATGTTCTTGTGGTATCATAATTATATGATTTGTTTCACCCTCCCATTTCACATGCTCATTTATGATTTGGCTAGTTGATAAGTAGTACAGTTTATTTAATTGTTAGAACTCTGTCCCACCCATGATTACAATTTTATAAGTTACAATGTCGCAAGAGGCAAGGGAGAGGCTATCTAGGGTAAGGAGTAAACAACCTTTGCTTCGTTGTATTGCCTTTGGATTTTTGTTTTGTTGTGTGCTTGAATACATGTGTGTGTAACTACATTGCCAGTTAAGTGCATACCATTATTTTGTATTGTACTTGCATGATTTGTTGCGGTGGCTATTTTGGTAATTTCGCCTGAAATGTGTATCTCTTGGTGAACTAGTGTGGTGTAGCCAAATTACTCATGCAAGTGCATAATAGGGTATATCAATTATGATATACTATGAATCGAATGTTTTGTTGGCCAAATATTATATTAGTGATGGTGCCTATCTTTGTATATGTGGAATTGGGGTTTAGTAGCCAAACTATGTTTAAATAATGATTATGTGTGTATAATTGTTCTATTAGGTGTGTTTTGGCTAATTGAATTTGGTTCAACCCTCTGTTGAGGCTAGTGGCACATGGTTTGGATTTGGGACTCTCATATGCATGTTAAGTCTTATAAATGTAACATTTTACATTTGAGTATCCAACTTTTTATTGGAATATCTCTTTTTTAAAAAACCAATGCCATTAGTTAGAAGATTGAATTAGTTTTTGGGTGAGGAGTTAAACCACTATAATTGGATGTTGGATGGTGAAATGATATACACCAAAAGTTTGACTCCAAATGTTGTCATGACAACAAAGGTACTGTCATGATAGATGTGTGCGACGACAGAAGCCGAGTCTCACTGAGGAGAACCATACTATGACTATTAGCCATGGCCAACATGTGTTCTGGTTGTGGTATACACATGCAGTGTTGCTTGCTATGGTGGGTGACCAGTTGGTTGCTACAAAGGTACAATATTGATTATAAATTATAGTTCTGCCTCAGTTTTAATCATGTTGTTTCCATTTTTGTGCTTGACATAGTTGGTACACCAAATAGTCAAAGATTTTAGTTTGGTTTTGGCTTACTTGATTTAATAACAATGTTTTTTGAAGACAATGCCTTATCTTGATATGTTTAGCAATTTTCTCGATGATTTCTTCTTTTGTATCTAGACGGGATGTTTCTTATTGGACTTTGACTTCCTGCGCTTGTGCTTCACATGGTTCAATAGCAAAAGTTTCACCTTAGGCCAATATTATATCCTTCTTTTTAGGTTGTATCCCAATCTCTTTTTCCTTGTCCTTCACAATTCCTCAGTCCCCACGCTTTTCCTATAATTCAAATCCAATTGTTTATTTTCATTCACTGGTGCCCCTTTATCCAAAACACGTGTTTCTTGTTCCTTACTTCTCCCCTTCACATCATCACCCCTTTCATCATTATGCGAATTCTTTGGCACATATTTATGCAAAATTTGTTTGTTATGATTTTCGCCCATAATCTCGCTATTTTGTTCCTCCAAATCATTTAACACATTAAATTGAGACCCTTTTAAATGGTCGGAAACACTTGTGGTTGGGGCTTTCCCTTTTGGTGCACAATTTCCTTTCTTAGGATGTTCATGAAGCATCCTCTCGCTGTAGATCTGCCCTTCTGTCATCAGTCACTCTCTACCCTCTTTTTTCAGTTGACTCACCATTACAAAATAACCTTACAGGTCTACTTATTTTTTATCTTCAAGAGCGCTCCCATATCTAGTGCTTAGTGCTTTATAAAGCACTCTCATAAGAGTGACATACAAGAACGCTTTATAAAAGCACTCCTATATAGTTCAAGATATATAAAGTGCTCCTAATAGATGACTATATAAGTATATGGAAGCACTCATATAGAGGCATAATGGAGCGTTCTTTACTTAAGCGCCCTCGTATGCCCCTTTTTATTTTTTATAATTTAAATTTGCTAAAACTACCTTATGTGTATCTCTTAAAAATGACTAATCTTAATATTAAAAACTAATTCAGAAATAGTATTGTTGAACATAAAAATTTATATATAATGAAAGAAATTGAAAATAAAACAACTACTTATATTTCCTAACTTGTTTAATCTCCAATTAGTCTAACAAATGAAACTATTAGTATTTTTTTAATATTAAAAGCTAGTTATCCATCACAAACAATCAATTATATATTCTAATTAACCATTCCTCAATTATATCTTTTATTTGCTCCATAGTAAAATGCAAAGTTCTTGCTCCCACAAAATACTACATGAGAAATGAAAGTAGGATATAAATAATTAATATTATATTAATTTAATTTTAAAACACTTGGCTTACATTCTCTGGAATGATCAACTCTTATTGTGTGATTATTTTTCTCATAAACTTTATCACATAATATCCATATTGCCAACTTTATATTTGTGTAGGTACCTATAAAATAATAAAAGATGTTATTATCCAAATATGAAAGAAAGAAATTTCAATTTAATTACTAACACTTTAAGGATGAAATTATATAGATAATTCTCATTTGCTGGAAAAAATAAGGCAGAGTCTCTCCTATAAATTGAACATTCTAGAATTTTTTAAAAATTTTACATTAATCCATAACAGCATATTCAGAACAACAAACTTTAAATATCAATCAAACAATCATTTAGATGCACACCAACTTATTTAATTAAGTAAATAATACAAACCTCAATTCTTTTCCATGTTTAAAACTTAACAGGATTAGCCTTTTTAGTATTTGGAGGGAGACCTTTACTACCTCGATAACGTGCTACAGCCCTATAAAAATTAAGCATATCACTAGACATTCTTACTCTAATTGTTACAATAGCCATGTATAAGGAATATAACATTGAAAACTTACTGATTAAATAATATCCTTATAGATCTGTAGTTCTTAAAGTCACTATCTCTTAATGAGTCAAGATAATAAATTGCAGGGAGGAATGAATTGATGCAAA